ATGAAATTTTGCATTTTATCAGTAAAATTACAAGACTTTCATACACAAAATATCACTTTGTTTTATCAGTAAAATTACAAGACTTTCATACACAAAATATCACTTTGTTTTATCAGTAAAATTACAAGACTTTCATACACAAAATATCACTTTTTGTTTATTAAGTTTTAAGTTTTTTAAGTAATGTTTTTCTCATGCCTTTTTTCTTTTCAAATGTTGACTCTCCAATATGCAAAGTAATTTTAATTTTAAGATTAAAAACACTTTTATGCATCAGAAAATTTTCAAATCTCACATGCGAAATCTTTATAACCTCCAGATAATTATCAAACGTTTTTTAAGAAAAACTTTATATTTTATCTGTTATTTTCACTTTTGTATCTCTGTACAGGTTTGGTCATAACCACTGAAAAAAAGTAGGAAAAATATATATATAAATTATGCTTTTTTCATTCTAGAATGACTACAGATTGTAACACAAAAACACAAATGTTTAGTGTAAATAGCTTAAATCTTATAACATTATACATTTATATATATTTATTACATTGACCTTCTAGTCGTGTCTGGCTAACAATACAGAAGTTATAATGATGTGGTGCACGTGCACTCATGTTACCGTATCCAAGAATATAAAACTGGTCTGTATAAAGTGAACTGTCTTTGCCGTGTTTTAGTGGACTAGTATTTTGTAAAATACAGACACATTTCAATTATAATACATTATATATGTATATAGATTATTACTATTTACACATGCAAAATAATTTTTTTTAGGTTTATATATATACATTTTGAAATAAGTGAAAATCATAAATTACTATATGAATACCACAGAATTCCACTATAATTTATCAAACTTAGTAACTAAGATATATTTAGGGCTGAAAAAATATGAAATATTACCTTACCACTTGGAATCAAGTATGAAAAGAAAGAGTTTGCTGAGAAAGCCACTTGGGGGCATATTCATTTTGGTTATACACGCATCATTGGGTGTACGTGAGCGCTTGAAGAGGTAGGCAGGGCCACCTTGGTTGATTCAATAAACATAATAATATCTCAGAAAATAGAGAAGGTAAGAGGTTCTTATCTTGTATTCTAGCTTGTCAATATTGGTAATTTGAGTATGTAATTTGTAAGACTCAGTATTTGGACATCACAAACATCTAATTTGAACCAATGCTTCATTCAACATATCATATAACACACAAAAATTGATATTTAGGAATTTTATTTTAATATTTGCTTTTAAATTAAGAAATTAACTAATGTATAATACTAAAATTTTACTTATAATCTACAAGCTGATACCAAACTTATTGACAAACATTCATAAAATAGTAGTTCAATAAAATTTTAAATGTAAGTTTACAAACACGATGACATGCACTTTGACCCCTGACCATAGGAAGACCTGTAGCAAGAGGATTAACAGGTAAAAATGTGAAATTTCTCAGTGTGAAGCAATATTTGATCCCTACCTGTATGTATGACATGCACTTTGACCCCTGACCATAGCAAGAGGATTAACAGGTAAAAACGTGAAATTTCTCAGTGTGAAGCAATATTTGATCCCTACCTGTATGTATGGCATAAAATGAAGTTGGTAATTGGAAAGTTAATTCATTTTGGGTGCCATTTTCTGTTGATGAAGACAAGCATTGTTCATCATTCCAGTGATGAAGATACAGACATTAAGGCTGTGATTAGCTCCTGGTTACAACAACAGCCTGATGATGTTCGTCATCATCTTGAAACTTTCATTGAGGATTTTTTTTACAAAGCTTTGGAATGGGTTTTAAAACAGGTAAAATGTATTTATGTATGTAAGTTAATTTTAATTGTGACAGAAGTGTTGAGCAAAAGTCTCAGTAAATTAAAACTGTTATTGTTAATCGATCAATCAGGCTTTAAACCTTGGCATAAGCCCAGTATTGTTGAGTGACAAGCTTATCTCTCAGTAAGTTAAAACTGTTATTGTTAATAGATCAATCAGACTTTAAACCTTGACATTAGCCCAGTAATATTGAGTGTCAAGCTTATCTCTTTGTAAGTTAAAACTGTTATTGTTAATAGATCAATCAGACTTTAAACCTTGACATTAGCCCAGTAATATTGAGTGTCAAGCTTATCTCTCCGTAAGTTAAAACTGTTATTGTTAATAGATCAATCAGACTTTAAACCTTGACATAAGCCCAGTAATGTTGAGTGTCAAGCTTATCTCTCCGTAAGTTAAAACTGTTATTGTTAATAGATCAATCAGACTTTAAACCTTGACATTAGCCCAGTAATGTTGAGTGTCAAGCTTATCTCTCAGTAAGTTAAAACTGTTATTGTTAATAGATCAATCAGAGTTTAAACCTTGACATTAGCCCAGTAATATTGAGTGTCAAGCTTATCTCTCCGTAAGTTAAAACTGTTATTGTTAATAGATCAATCAGACTTTAAACCTTGACATTAGCCCAGTAATGTTGAGTGACAAGCTTATCTCTCAGTAACTTAAAATTATAGGAGAAAATTGTTTGTGAAAAATGACATTGAGTTTATGAGTGTTGTCCTTTAAACCTATGATTAAATTCTGTTGAATCTTATAAGATTTAACAAATATACTTTGTTGTATAACTGATCTGGAATGTTTGAGTTTAGAAATGAAAAATTATAACTTCAAAATTAAAAGTTTTTGTTGTATTGAAAATTTGATTAACAATGCTTACAGCCAAGCCCAAGTAATATACTTATTGTAGAGAAAGAGATTAATGTGTTTGGCAATCAAACAGTGTTTCCATCTAAGTCCAAGTAATCTGCTTTGTTTACAGTGAAAGAAAGTTTTTCCAAATTCAACTCTGGTACTAATGTGTAAAGCCTTATTACCAAATTTTTTACCAAGATTTATTAAAAATGAAAATCCCATTTTGACTCAATAAATCTGCAACTCGTGGGCTGAACTGACCATCCATTGGTGTCTTCTCTTGTGTTTGCTGAACACATGATGGCTAAGTTGTAGAAATGTGTTGTAAAATAAAGCTGTTGAGCATGTAAGAATTAATTCAGTGTGAACCTGACATCTTTAGGAATAAAATGATGATAGGATGTACAGTGTTTAAACACAAAGCTGAATTCATACAAGATCTTTAAATTGGTGATGAAATTTCTTAGTTAGAAGATGTTATGATTATTCAATAGTTACACTAAGTTTCTAGTTGAAAGTTTAGAAAAAAATGCTCAAATAATGTTTGAAATGAATAAATACAAAATAGTGTCAAGTTTAATCATACATTGTATTCCATTATATTATGTTGAATGTCAAGTACTTGTATCATCTGATTTCTGAACTGCTGTAAATCCTTAACTTAAGCTATTTCTATATGAACTTCACAACTTGAAGTATAAAAGTTTTATTTCAGAATGATTTTGTGGTGGATACTACATTAGTTGGGGTTGTTATGAATGGTCTCTCCCACCTGGTTGACGTTCACAACAAATTTCAATTTGCTGTTGGATTATTGAGAGGTTTAGGAAGTAATCTTCCCAAAATTTCAAAGGAAACTTTTGCAAAAGAGGTAAAAAAAATTGTTTTATTTAATAAATTGTTTCAGTATGAATGAATATTAGAATGTTGATAAAATGACTTCAAACAAATATGTAGATACTTCTGGAGATTGTAAAATTTTAACTTATAATTGTTAAAAGCTGTTAGCACTTTTATTATGTGCTTGTAAATATAAATTTAATAAAATGATTTTAGCTGTACTGGATATTGAACCAAAGCATATAAAACAAGTGAAAATTGTGTTCTTGAAACACCTTTGTCTCCCACCTTGACCTATGACCTTCAAAACATAATCACATCTAGAACTTTGTACGTAGTACCTGTTGTGTAAGTTTGGTCAAGATCTATTTATCCAGTCTTGAGATATCCTGTCTACAATATTAGGATGGATGGAAAGATTACAAACCATTATGGCCTTCTTTGCATAACAGTGGGGCATAAAACATGCTGCATGAATTGTAAACTAAATATTGAACCAAAGCATATAAAACAAGTGAAAATTGTGTTCTTGAAACACCTTTGTCTCCCACCTTGACCTATGACCTTCAAAACATAATCACGTCTAGAACTTTGTACGTAGTACCTGTTGTGTAAGTTTGGTCAAGATCTATTTATCCAGTCTTGAGATATCCTGTCTACAGTATTAGGATGGATGGAGAGATTACAAACCATTATGGCCTTCTTTGCATAACAGTGGGTCATAAAACATGCTGCATGAATTGTAAACTAAATACTGAACCAAATGTTAAGGAATTTCTGTGGATTGATATTTATTAGATATAAAATATTTTAAGAATTGTTATTACTTGTATGATAAGATTTTATATGTTAAATGAAAATTCCATTTATTTATATCATGGTGATACACATTTAGAATCTAAGAACATTTTCCCAAATTTATAGTTAACAGTTTTTCAGATTTGTTGATAGTTTTCATAATGTATGCTTTGTTTTAGTTTTAAAATTGAGACACTTTGAATATTTGTGTAAGACTATGTGTGATGTTTCAGCTGTTTTCTTGGATTGGAGAAGTTGCACCTGATCCAAATTATCCACTAAACACTTATTATAACAATGGAAAGAGACAGGCTGGACAGCTACAAAGCTGAGGTAAGTCTTCGGGTTTGGGTATCATCATTACTGTTAAAACTGTGGTGTTTAAAATGAATAAGATTCAGAGTTGCACCATACAACTGACATATGCTAATGTTTGAAACAAGTTAGATCTACAATAAACTAATAACACAAGTTCAGGTCTAAAGTCAACTAACACAAAAGATGTGTTAATATAACACAAGTTCAGGTGTAAAGTCAACTTACACAAAAGATGTGTTAATATAACACAAGTTCAGGTCTAAAGTCAACTAACACAAAAGATGTGTTAATATAACACAAGTTCAGGTCTAAAGTCAACTAACACAAAAGATATGTTAATATAACACAAGCTCAGGTTTAAAATTTACTAATACAAGTGTTATACATTTAATAGTTAAGACAAACTGTACCACTTGGTTATTCAAAATGTGTCATTGTTAAAATAAAAAATCTTTTTGAAGTACACCATGTCAGAGAATTTCTGAAATAGCTCTGTCCGTGACATATTGTTTGCCCAAACTTCTCTATCACAGAGTGATTTAAATACGTGATAACTATTAATCTTACAGAAGGTTATTTTTAAGTAGAAAAAGCGTACATCATAGTTAATCTATATAAATAGAATTCTACTGTCTGTTGTATGTCCGTGTAACTACTTTGCAGGGTATGGATGGATCTTCACCAAAATTGGTATGGAGATTCATTAGGTCCATACAGGGGTGCATACAAATTTTCAGTTTTGCATTTTGCACCACTACTTTGCCCCCTGTTGATGGATCTTCACCAAAGTTGGCATGAAGGTTTGTTGGGTCCATGCAGAGGTACATGGAAACTTGGGGATTCACATTTTATGTTTTTCAGTTTCTATGGGCATTTTTGCAATTTTTACAATTACATTATAAGGGAAACAACTTTTCATGTCCTGAGATAACCTTTCGTTAATCAGCTAGTTTCTTGTATTTTGTTATCAGACTGATGAAGATGTTAGTCTTGAAGAACTCAAAAGTAGTGTTCTACCTGTCATCCAGACGTCAGATGTTTTGAGAACAACAGACTATGTAATGCCTTGGCTTCAGTCTAACATAATTCAACCGTTTCTTCTTGTGGGACCTGAAGGTTGTGGAAAAGGGTAGACAACAATTTTCAATACTCAAACTTATCTACAAGAGAGAGAGAACTAACTTAAGATTATTGAGCTATTTTCCTTTAATCTGTAAAGATTAACATTTATTAACTTCCTTTTCATATGTTACTAGGGCATTATGAAATTCTTAACTTGCTTTGTTTGTTCTATTATACACATGTTTAGTACATTTTATGGTTTTCAATTCTAGTAAATGTTAGTGTTCCAACAATTAAATAATGACTCTTGATAAGTTCTTCTTGGATCTTGTAATGATGTAAAAATAGTAGTACTCTGTATGTTTGTAGTAAATGCTAGTGTTTTAACAATTAATAATGACTCTTGATAAGTTCTTGTTGGATCTTGTAATGATGTGAAAATAGTAGTACTCTGTATGTTTGTAGTAAATGCTAGTGTTCCAACAATTAAGTAATGAATCTTGATAAGTTCTTCTTGGATCTTTTAATGATGTGAAAATAGTAGTACTCTGTATGTTTGTAGTAAATGTTAGTGTTACAACAATTAATTAGACTCTTGATAAGTTCTTGTTGGATCTTGTAATGATGTGAAAATAGTAGTACTCTGTATGTTTGTAGTAAATGTTAGTGTTCCA